AAAGCTTTTTATCTTGATGAAGTCCCAAGAGTTCATTTTTGCCTTTGTTTCCCTTGCCTTTGTGGAGATATGTCTAGCAAGAAGTTGCTATGGCTGAGGTCACAGAAGTTGCTGCCTGTGTCCTCCTCTAGGATTTTGAAGGATTCCTGTCTCACATTTAGATCTTTCATCCACTTTTGACTATTTTTGTGGTTAGTGTAAGAAAATGGCCCAGTGTCATTCTTCTGCATGTGGCTGTCCAATTTTCCCAATACCATTTGTTGAAGAGACTTTTTTCCATGGGTATTCCTTCCTGCTTTGCTGAAGATTAGCTGACCACAGAGTTGAGGATACATTTCTGGGTTCTCTACTATGTTCCATTGATCTATGTGTCAGTTTTTGTGCCAGTATCATGCAGTCTTGATGCTTACAGCTTTATTATAGACCTTGAAGTCTGGGATTGTGATGCCACCAGCTTTGATTTTCTTTTCAATGATCATTTGGCTATTTGGGGTCTTTTCTGGCTCCATACAAATTTTAGGATTATTTGTTCCAGCTCTGTGAAAAAAGTTGATGGCATTATGATAGGGATTGCATTGAATACACAGATTGCTCTAGGTAAAATAGATATTTTAATAATTTGTTCTTCCAATCCATAAGCATGGAACATTTTTCCATTTCTTTGTGTCTTGCTCAATTTCTTTCATGAGTGTTCTATAGTTTTCTTTTTTTTTTATAATTTTTTTTATTTATTTATGGTAGTCACGGAGAGAGAGAGAGAGGCAGAGACATAGGCAAAGGGAGAAGCAGGCTCCATGCACCGGGAGCCCGACGTGGGACTCGATCCCGGGTCTCCAGGATCGTGCCCTGGGCCAAAGGCAGGCGCCAAACCGCTGCGCCACCCAGGGATCCCTGGAGTTTTCTGAGTACAAATCCTTTACCACTTTGGTTAGGCTTATTCTTAGGTATCTTATGGTTCTGGGTGCAATTTTAAATGAGATTGACTCCTTAATGTCCCTTTCTTCTGTCTCATTGTTAGTGTATTTTCATTTACACTTTTGCCTAATTATTAACTTTTGCTGAAAAAGGGGAGAATAGTTAACCTACTTTGGCAGAAGATTGAGGGTTTATTCCCTACAGAGGGTAAAACAGTCTCTGGACTGAAGAGTGCAAGTGAAAACAAGAGTACCCAAATGAAAATGACAGGAAATACATGACCATTTATATTCTAAATGTTGACACTTCTTTCAAGCCCCCAACACATTGGCAGCTCAACTTTACACCATTTGTGTAAAGACTCCTTTTTAAAGAAACTGTTGTAAAAGGGATATCTTAAACATGGGTATCAAATGTTCCCCAACCAAAGAATCCAGTCAGATCAGGCTGACAACCCTTAATCCTCCATGCAGAGTTTCCAGGAAGCATTTTAGTGTTCACTTAAATGAAAGTGCATGGTCAAGGATCATCAGGAAGAAAGTTTCTGATAGAAGAATAGAAATTCTTCCCAAATAAGACTAATAAAATAAGAAACTAGGAGGAAACAGATTACGTAAGAAGAAGAAAGCCTCAAGAAATATTAATAGTTTCAAACAAAAAATACATGCTTGAAGCAAGATGAGTATGTATTTCAAAAAGAGAAAACAAAAGAGCTCTTGGAAATAAAGAATATAGATGATAACAGGGGTGCCTGGCTGGCTTAGTCAAAAGATCATGTGACTCTTAATCTCAGGGTTGTAAATTCAATACCCACATTGGCTTAGATAGTACTTTAAAAAGTAAAATCTGAAAAAAAAAGAGGATAACAGAAAATCCAATAATTATTAAACTAAAAAGCTATTAAGTATTGAATATCTTATTGAATATCGTTTGGAAGAAAAGTAAAAGGTAAATGGATAAACTGATACATTCACACAGTGGAATATTATTCCCTGCTGAAAAGAAATGAGCTATCAAGCCATGAAAAGATGTGGAGGAACCATAAATGCATCTGAAACAAAGTAAAGCCAATCTGAAAAGACTATATACTACATGATTCCAACTACATGACATTCTAAGAAAGGCAAAACTATGCTGACAATTAAAAGATCAGTGGTTGCCAGGGGTTGGGGAAAGGGAAGGATAAGTAGGTGGAGCAGAGAGGATTTTTAGGGCAGTGAAACAATTCTATAAATACTATAAAGGTGCATATATGTCTTATATAACTGTCAAAACCCACATAATGTACAATAGCAAGAGTTGTACATTCTACGAACAAAGACTCAGGATGTCCACTACTTATCATCAAATGGTTCATACAGAGTGATATGAATAAATGTGTATGCATGTGTACAATACATACTTGTGTTTATTTACATATTTTTGTTATGCACACATACAAAAATATTAAAATAGTAATGATACAAAAGTGGCAAAATATTAATTGGTGAATCTAAGCGAAGGGGATAAAGGAATTCAGTGTACTATCCTTGTAACTTTTCTGGAAGTTTCACTTTTTTATTTTTTTATTTTTTATTCTTTATTTTTTTTAAGACTGTATTTTTTTTATTCATGAGAGACACAGAGCGAGGCAGAAATATAGACAGAGGGAGAAACAGGCTCCCTGTGGGGAGCCAATACAGGACTCGATCCCAGGACCCCAGGATCATGACCTGAGCTGAAGGCAACGCTTAACCACTGAGCCACCCAGGTGTCTCTAACTTTTTTTTTAAACACAGAATCCAAAAAGTACGACTTCCATTTCTTTTCTTCAATATACCTACATAAAATTGATTTTTAACAATGACTGTGGATAAAAACAAATGGGACGTGTAACCTTCACCATCACCCTTCAGCTACACTGGTTCTTTTCCATTTTCTCAAATCTCTCTGCGGTCTCCTGCCCAGAGCTTCTGCATATGCTGCTCCCTCATCCTCATCATCTTGCCCCCGAGTCTTTGCCTAGTTAACTCTTCTTCCTCCTTTACAGTTCAACTTGATCTCTCCAAGCAAGTCAACTCCTTGGTCTCATAGCATCATATATCTCTTCTCACAGCTATAGTTTAGAATTTATTTGTATTTTTCTCTACATGTCTACCAGGAAAAGGTAGGCAGGAGCCATGTCTGGTTTTGCTTATCATTTTAACCCCAATGCTTGCCACACAGGATCTAAAAAAAAAAAAAAAAAAAACACCTCCCAAAGGGAAGAAATTAACATTTAACATTTATATTAACAGCTATATTGGCCTCTTTGCTGTTCCTTGAACATGCCAGACATAATCCCACCTCAGGGTCGTTGCATCGGCTGTTCCCTTTGCCTTGTAATCCCTTCCCACAAAAAATCCCATGACTAGTTTCAAATCTTTGCTCAAATGGCAACTTGTAGATGAGGCCTTCTTTGACCATCCTATTTCAAACTGCCAAGAACTCTTCCACCCCAAACTCTATACAATCCTTAACTGTATCTGTTTTATTTTTTTCTGTAGTATTTATGACCTAAAATACTAAATATCTTATTAGAGTATTATCTGTCTCTCTCCACTACAAGATTAATGCCATTAGAGCAGATTTCCTTCAGAATGTTTAGAATAATGTCTAGCACATAATGAAAATTCAAATACTTGTTAAAAGAATGACTATATAAGAGAATTTTGTCAAAATCTTACTATGTTCAAAATTCATCTTAATATTTATTGTTTTAAACACACAAAACTGCCAACTACCATGTATAGTAAAGACTATCTCTCATTTTAAGATTATACAATTTCTAATTTTTAGGCATTAATATATTTATTTTTCCAAAATGATGGTTCTATTTTTTTCTCAATGGCCTTATTTGCCAACTTGAGAAATGTTCAAATCTGTCAATGTCTAATATTTTTTTTTGGAAATTTTATTGACATATGAAATCTAAAAATCTGGGAACTACTGACATATAGGATTAAAATAATTCACCAGAATGTCATTTCACTATCTAGCCCAATAGACCCACTAAAACTATTCCACCCTTCAAAAATCCTCTCCGGTCAAAACCATCTCCTTATTATCTTCGAAACATCAAGACTTTGATCCCCCTGGATGCTTCTTAAGTGATTTTTTTTTCCTTCCTTCATCCCTTCTTTAAAATCCTCCCATCCAGGGATCCCTGGGTGGCGCAGCGGTTTGGCGCCTGCCTTTGGCCCAGGGCAGATCCTGGAGACCCGGGATCGAATCCCACGTCGGGCTCCCAGTGCATGGAGCCTGCTTCTCCCTCTGCCTGTGTCTCTGCCTCTCTCTCTCTCTCTCTCTCTCTCTCTGTGTGACTATCATAAATTTAAAAAAAAAAAAAAATCCTCCCATCCAAAGATTTCCCCTCCTTTAAGTATATTACCTGAAATCCAAAAATTTTAAGTCATTTTCTTACCACTCCAGTCTATCTTTCTATCACCCAAACACCTCAAGCTCTTTACGTACAGCTCATTCCAAAAACTAGTTTGGTCCAAGCCAACTACACAAGGATCAGATTAAGAAAAGATTTTAAAAAGACAATTTCCAGAGTCTCAGTGAGTACAGATTAGAAGAATCAAAATTTCCAAGACCAAAGCACAGAAGCCACTATTGTCTAAAAACTCACCCAAGTGATTCTGATTCATAACCTGGCTTAGGAATAATCAATCTATACCACAGAGTCTGAAATTAGTTATAAAATAATTTGATAAAATATTAAAATCAACATTATTTATGTATGCCTTCTAAAACTTTTTAAAGAAATCATAAATAAAAATATTTTTAACCACAATAAGAGCAGTTGCACATTTACTTTAAGACTTCAAATTAAACATTGAATGTGCATGTCCTATGTTATATTACACATATGAAGGCCTTAATTTTGAAGCAAATCATTTCAAATCCAATTGCAATATTTTGACAGATATGTAGAGATATTTTTGATAATTGTGTTGATATTGTCATAGGGCATATATTCCAAAGAAATGAATATAATTAAAATAAGCAGCTACCAAAATTCACTTTTAAAAAAAAAGTAAACCTAAATATAGTCTACTAACCTGTTTGTTGTTCTCTGCCATGGAAAGCTGCAATGCCAGGAGCATGGAGTCTGCACCACATACAGTAGTTCTCTCAGAGTTACAAAGAGTGTGCCAATTCCTTCTGAACTCTTTAATCATATCCAAGATAGACTTCTGATTAAGCGCAGCCATCCTCTCTGAAAGTAGGACAGAATGCAATGTTAAAAAGATTTACTTTAATTGGAAACTAATATTTAACATGTGTAAGGAAGCAGAGTTAGAGAAAAATAAGTAGTGAACAAGAGGTCATTTCATATTTACTAAGATTGCTTTTCATTAAATTCAGGGAAACAGAACAACACACTTTCTGTCCAATCATATTTTCCTCTCCTTTAGTTTTCTTAAGCCAAATCTTTTGAAATAACAAAATCCAACCTTCAAACTGAAAACTGATACAAAACAGATACACAAATTCTGTAAACTTATAGACACAGCTAATTAAAGCTGTATTTTCAAAATATTTGTTTTGAGATAAATGGTAATATGTATGGTAGATTTGGGGGGGGGGGGGGAGGCCAATTTCCTCCCATCCCCATATTGTCTCAAAAGAAGAGGTCTATTGGGACACCTCGGTGGCTCAGTGGTTGAGCATCTGCCTTCAGCTCAGGTCATGATCCCGGAGTCCTGGGATCAAGTCCTACATCGGGTTCCCCATGGGGGAGCCTGCTTCTCCCTCTGCTTGTGTCTCTGCCTCTCTCTGTGTCTCTCATGAATAAATAAATAAAATCTTAAAAAAAAGAAGTGGTCTATTTTTCTACCCCTTTAAGTATGAGTCAGTCTAGTAACCTGACCAATTGAGTATGGCAAGAATGACATCATGGGGGTTCCATGCTAGTGCTCGAAAGGCCCATGCAGAAAAGTTAATGCAGTAGGCCTGATGTCTATCTTTTAAAAAGATTTCTTACAAGGTAGGCCCTTGGCTGCACCTGGTAACTTAGAATTCAGGAGGATATCCAGTAAGAGTAGCTCACTGTGCCTCAACTGTTTATACAAATAATATAGTTTATGCTGAACACATGCTTTCCTTCTGAGTCTGGAACTTAGGAACATAAACCAAGAATGCCTACATCAGTAACCCTAGACACTGAGTCTCTAAAGAGCTTCCCTGGGAGACAACATTTCATATGGGTTGTCACAATTTGTTATTGGAGGACTTAAGCATGTCCTGCGCGACTCCACTAAGAGAGGACTTTTGGAAACTTATGCCTGATTTCCCCAGAAATTCATCCCATGCACTTTCTCCCCATGTAGATTCTCTCTTTGCTGATTTTCTTTAGCATCTTTTTGTTGTAATAAATTATAGGTGTGGGCACAACTATATACTGAGTCCTCTGAGCCTTCTTAGCAAAATCCAACCTGGGGTGGGTTTTAGGGCCTCTTGATACAAGGCTTGCAGCTTTAGTCCTTACTGTCTTGCCACTCTAGACTACCATAAGAAAAAGTCCAAGTTCACCTGCTGGAGAGGCCATATAGAAGAGAACCAAGGCACTCTAGCTGACAACCAATTCCAACGTAAAGACATGGGAAGCTGTGTTAGACTTTCCTGCCCCAATCAACCTACCAGATGAACTGCAGCCACATTAGTGATCCCAGGCAAGACCAGCAGAACCACCAAGTTGAGTCCAGCCAAAACTGCTGTCCACAGAATCATAAGTAAATAAAATGGCTGCTCTTTTAAATCCATTAAGTTTTGGGGTGGTTTGTTACACAACAGATTACCAATATAATATCTAATATTTAGGAGCTATGTTCATGCCAGAAACTTTTCAAAAGCTTAATATTTATTACTTCCTTCAATCTTTGAAAGAGTCTATTAGAGGGTCCACTATTATCCCCATTTTACATCTGGAGAATGTGATACCCCATGTCACTCAGCTAGCAAATCGCAAAACAAACTTAACTCCAAACTCTATAAGCTGTGCTCTTACATCACTATATTACATAATTTCTCCTAATAGACAAAACTCTTTCAAAATAATTAGATGTAGTTTCACTACTTTACATACTCAAGTCCATCTAAGAAAGCAATTCCTTTCTTAACGGGTTTACAGATATGGCTGCTAAAAGGTTTTTTTCCTACTTTGTATGCTAGTCTCCAACATGTTCATATGCCATTATCTTATTTTGGATATATTTTATTGTACACAACCCATTTATTAACTCTTTCTATTATCTTTTTCTTTTTTTAATGTGATATAAATAGAATCCCAAATATTTACTATGTATTTTGGGTTTATATGATGGTGAAAATGGGCATATAACATTTACAAAGCAAGAATTCAAAGTTGCATCAATAATGCAACTTAAAGATACAAGCGAAAACCAATAAATTAAAATATCTACATATGCACAAATGCTAGTAAATAGCTAAAAGTTTTATTTCTCTTTAAATATCACCCTTTTTCTTAAAGGAGAAAAAAAAAGGAAAGAAGTAATGCTTCAGTGATATGATCGGTTCACCTGAAATAAATCTTTAGTACTAAATTATTTAGGGTACTATTTAAAAGTAATAAGAGTTCTGGAGTGCGTGGGTGGCTCAGTCAGTTAAGGGACCCACTATTTCAGCTTAGGTCATGATCCCAGAGTCAGGAGATTGAGCCCCACCCTGCTCCCAAGCATAGTCTGGCTTGCGATCTCTCTTTCCCTCTGTCCTTCTTCCACGCTCATGTGTGAGCACGATCTCTCTCTTTCTAAATAAATAAATAAATAAATAAATAAATAAATAATAAATAAATAAATAAATAAAATTTTCAAAAAAAAAAAAGTAATATGAGTTCAGATTACTAAGAATGAAAACTAGTACAGAATTAGAACGTTTTGAATCCTGGCCACACCATGTACTAGCCATGAGATCTACAGCAAGTTACATCATCTCCCCCGCCTCAGCTTCCTTGTCCTGAAAATGAAAATATAATAGTTCCTATGTCACAGGAGTTTGTGAAAAGTCAAGGATAGAAGTACAAGTTGAGCTTTTAGCAGCGTGTCTGATCCATAGAAAAGCCCAGAGTCTCATCGAGGGGTCCGCACACTTGTGGGAAAGGGCTAAATCAGAAATATTTAAGGGGTGCAAGGCGCTCCGTCTGTGTCACAACCATTCAACTTGACCTTGCCTGTGGGAAAACAGCCACAGACAATACATAAACGTAGGCTAGGCGCATAACTCTGCTTCAGCAAGACTTTATGGAAACTGAAATGAACGTTTACATGATTTTCACATGTCACAAAATATCATTCTTTTTGTTTGTTTGTTTGTTTGTTTCAACTATTCAAACATGGAAAATCTATTCTTAGCACCGAAAATGGCTGCACAGAAACAAGTAGACCAAGAGTTTACCAACTCTGGTCCAGTCCCCATGCTTTCCACAGCTGGTGGGCAACAAGCTTTACTTTACCCCTGACTGCCCAGGTGAGGTGTCATCACGCAGAAAACGGGAATAATATATATATAATATTTATACATTTATATTACATAATTTATATTATATAAATATACATTTATATATATGAAAAAAATAAAACAGGAATAATACCTTCCAGCCAATTATGAGGAGTCACCGAGACGATGACTACACAAGCACTCGGAATTTCAGGCTGCCTGGCACTATACAGCAACAGTGGCAGGTGGCAGTGATCATGAACACTATCCTGAAAAAACTAGCTTCCAAACTGCACTGGAGCAAAAACTGTGTCACGGGAAATTATCACTGGGGTGATAGTGAGAGATGGTAAAAGAATATCTACGTCGGATATTCCAGGGCCCACATCCTGGTTCCTCGATGTATGAAATGTACGTCCTTCGGTATTTAAAATCTCTGATGAACATAAATTTCCTCAAGCATAAAGGAGTTAAGACATCGCTTACCTCATAAAACTAGAACACAAGGAAACCTCCACCTAGGGTCACGCACTTAATAGGTGCTCCGTTAAAAAGAAAGAGGGACGTGGCTCAGCGGTTTACCGCCTGCCTTCGGCCTGGGGGGTGATCCTGGGGTCCCAGGATCAAGTCCCGCGTTGGGCTCCCGGCATGGAGCCTGCTTCTCCCTCTGCCTGTCCCTCTGCCTCTCTCTCTGTCTCTCATGAATAAATAAATAAAATCTTAGAAAAGAAAAGAAAAGAAAAGAAAAGAAAAGAAAAGAAAAGAAAAGAAAAGAAAAAAAAAGGGGCATCACCGTCAGGGTGCAGATCCTAAATATTCTTTGGAAGACGGTAACAGAGAGAAAGTAGTGAAACTGGAGTCTGCTCGCGTCTTGGGACTCGAGCCACCCTAAGGAACCTACGGAGGTCCCTCCAGGCGTCCCTCAGGCGTCCCTCAGGACCTTCCAGCCATACTCCTCACCAGATAACCGGGAACTCTTCTACACCCCCAGACCCAAGCAGGCTACAGAGCAAAGCCACTAAACAAATCACATTCTGGACGGTCACTTGGCTGTCACCAGCCCCAGCCTGAGTCACAGATTAATGTGTGACAGGCGGGCGGGCAAGAGATGACACTCACCTGCCTCGGGAACAGCCGGCAGGTGCAGACCCCACGTAACAGCAGTCCCGCCAGGCTGCGGTCCCCATGCGGTGAGAGTTCGTCCCGAGTTATATTTTTAAATCTCGCGGGAAGGCTCGGGAGCCAATCGGCGCTTCCGCCCTCTGACCCGGAAGCAGAGTCTGCGCGCGCCGCGGCAGTCCCCCCAGCGGAGACCGCCTTTCCTCCGGCTACTTCCCGACGCCCCCGGTGCGTATCGCGCGGGAGCCCTGGGGGTCCCTGCTGCTTTACTACTGGCTGCCCAGCGCTCCCGTGGTGTCCTTGCGAGTTACTTGTCTCCCGGGCCGCACCCTGTCTTCTCCCGGACCTCAGGCTTTGGGAGGTGGTCGCGGGGTCTCGCGGGACTTGCCTGTCTAGGAGAGGCGTTGGGGCTCTTTGCAGCGCAATCCCTTCCCTCCTCTGCTTTTCCAGTTTTAGAGGACAGATCCCCCTCCCCCCCGCAGTGTGCAGGGAAACCTTGAAATGCAGTGAGAGTGGGCACTAGTTTAAGGAGCAATAAGGGGACCGAGTTTCCTGACCTGGAGTCTTTTCCACTCCCCACACCGCCGTGCCTCTAAGGGCATCCACCTGCTGGTCACCCTTAACACATGTCAGGTCCCGGATTCCCACTCGTTTGCTTACTAGGTTATAGGCTACATGAGTTGGGATTCCTCTCATTCTCCGTAAATACTTCTCAGGTTCTTGATGTGTTCGTTACTGAGCCCAACTGTTCTCAGGACAACTGCGTCCAATTAAGAGAGAAAAAAAAAAAAAAAACCCTCCTTACATTCCTGAGTCTCATCTGGGAATGCTTTCAGAGTGCACACCAGGCCATAGCAGGTTAGTTGAACTTTTGTGCCTGGTTTTATGAGTATTATTTTTATATCACACATTTTGACACACCTTTCTCCAGATCTTATATTTTCGATCTGCTTATGTTATGGCGCTTTTCACACTGAGTCATAACTGTTACTGGATATTGTGATCTTGAAGGCAGAGGGGCTGTTTTTCTTCCCTAAGATTAGTGTCCAACGCATAGTAAAGTATTACAAGTGCTATCTCCTCTTACGGGCATGGCAACTAACCTACTAAAGTCTAGATTCTTCTGTAAAGTGGCAGACATTTCCCTCCTCTTAGGTTTGCAAGAGTTAGGTGTCATGATGTTAGTAAAATCCTTAACATGGCACCTGCAAATAGTGCTCTGTAAATGTTAACTTATTAATTTTTTATGAATATATTTACAACTAAAGTGATTACATCTTCAAGTACTCACTGTATCTTCTGGTTAAACAGGTTATTATGACGATTTATTCTGCAAGTATTATAAAGTATTTAAACAAGTACTTGAATTTTTTTTTTAGCTGCCTGTGGCATCTGAAATACCATGTCCTTATTTTGATTCAGTTGCTGAAAGTGACTGATACTTTGACGTTTTCTATCTGTGTTGTGTCTCTGCTGTAATCCACAGTTTCGTGACCTTGTCCAGTAGAAGGCTCTTTTATTACAACTGCTCAAGTATTGACATACAACATGAAGCAAGATGCCACAAGAAGTGCTGCCTACACTGTGGATTGTGAAGATTATGTGCATGTGGTAGAATTTAATCCCTTTGACAGTGGGGATTCAGGAAACCTAATTGCATATGGTGGCGGTAATTATGTGGTCATTGGCATGTGTACTTTTCAGGTTAGTGTACAAAACTCAGTGACTGACAATGAAGCTATTTTACTGGTTAAAAAAACAGACTTTGGTAAACTGATTAAAGTTGGAAAGCATATTGAGTTTGAATGTAATAGAAAAAATATGAAGAACTACAGAGAAATTTATTTCTAGTAATACATGCCTGAGATTTGTGCAAACATTAAATAGTGAAAAAAAAAGACAATGAGGCCTGTTTTTTGCCTCATAATTAGAAATGGAATATTCTGGTAATTGAAGGTTGTGACTAACTGAACATTTAGTATGTACAGGGAAAACACCAATTAAATAAGATCTAAGTAATCCAGTTTTTTTTACATTCCACTTTGACATGGAAATCAAGCCTAGAAGAATGATCCTCTAGGAGATTTTACAGCTGTCGTGATATTCAGCTTTTCTATTAGTATGCTCTCATGCTTTTTATTCATCTAAAGCATAATCCAGAGTATACAAAGTATGAGACCCTATTAATTGAACAGGCAATTAGGCATATTCATTAAGATTGAACTCTGGAGCCAGAATGCCTAGGTTTTTACCCCTGTCTGGCTTTACCTCTTAATAGCAATATGACCTCGAGCAGGTACTTAATCTCTCTTATATAAAAATGAGGAAAATAATACTTAATAGGATTTTATGAGAATGTAGTTAGTACATCATGTGAAGTTCCTGGAAGGCATCTGCATGTTTAATTCATATATACATATTATATACATATATATATACACACACACACATATATATATATAATGTTTTAACTGTTATTAATTTGGCATTGTTTCCCTCTAGCACAGGCCCATGGTTAATCACCAAAGCAGGATGCTTTGCGGTGAGCACACACCATGTTTTCTCACAGGAAGGCTAGTTCCACATGTGAAAGAGTCTAAACAATCAGAGTTCAACCCTCAGAAATCTTGGCTAATCCTTTGTTTACCAGAATATTATTCATAAAACAATATTTCTCAAATTAAGGTTAATCGGTGAGGTAATATGGCAGTGATCAGTTTTCAAAGATTTAAAGTAACTTTACCACTAGAATGGTACTATTATAAACATAATTATTATTTCCTCTTTTACTCAGGAGGCAGTTCAGTATTTTATTTCAATATAGTGTTTTGACATCATAAATGCAATTTAGCATTTTATAGTATAATAAGTAAAATTATCCAAAATTAGACTGCATGCATATTTATCCTAAGGAGAAAGTATGAATTCAAGCTTTCAGGTTTTTGGTGTTTGAATGTAATATAAAAGCTCTTACATTGTGCCGCATTGTCTCTCTTAGGGTTAGGGTAGGAATTGCTAGCCATGACCCACAGCCTGACTTTAGCTGGACTACTTCGTTAGGATCATAAAAAGCCCACATGATTAAGAGAAATAATATAACACACTTTTGGAAAAGACTGAGGGGAAAAAAACATTTTTCTGGTACAGGCTACTAACCCACAAAAGAATAAAGCAGCTTCCTACAGGTGAAACTAACTTTTTACTTAATCACTTCTAAAATTAATAACTGTGAATACAGAATTGTGTTAAAAAATACTGAAAAAATTTGTTTTATCTCTAGTTTATGTTCAGCTAAGAAAGTCAAGAAGGGAGGAAAAAATCTAGAAAAATGAAAGGCAGAGGTAATGAGTGGCAGAGAGAGAAAAAGACAATTAGAAGAAGGAACTAGCAAAAAAACATTTGTATTGCTCTGTCATGTCTTGCACATTGTCCTTGTTGATCCTCAGACCTATCAGATTGGCAAGCTAGGTCTTCTAGCCAAATAACCTAAAGAAAAAATTTGGATTTATTAACTTGGCAAGTAGCTAACACAAATATTCTGTGCCAAGTACTGGCAATAAAATTAAGCAACTGTCCCCATCCTCATAGAGTTTCCATTGTACTTCAAAGAAGTTCAGGGATTTGTATGACTAGTAATGAAAAATAAGATCCTTTTTTAAAAAAAAAAAAAAAAGATTTTAATTATTTATTCATGAGAGACACACCAGAGAGAGAGGCAGGCTCCATGCAGGGAGCCCGACACAGGCCCCAATCCTGGAACTCCAGGATCACGCCCTGAGCCGAAGGCAGGCGCTAAATTGCCGAGCCACCCAGGGACCCCTAGACTCCATTTCTAAACACCTGTTCTTTTCCTTCCATGCTGCTATTCAAAAAGGTTGAAGCCATAGTTCAAACAGTTCTGGAGGAGATTAGAGTCCCAATAATTTGCCTTTGGAGATTCAGAATAAATTATTGGTTTCCTTTAAAGTTATTTTTTAAACTAATTAAACACTATTAAACATTAGGGTTTTTTTGTATATCAGTTTATTGGAGTTCGATTTGCCAACATATAACACCCAGTGCTCATCCCTTCAAGTGCCCCCATCAGTGCTGCCTGTCACCCAGTCACCTGTCCCCTGCCGACCTCCCCTTCCACTACCCCTTGTTCATTTATTTCTATTCTCTCATGTTAGATTCTTCAGGTTCCATAGCATCCAATTTCATGCTTCCCTTTTGATTTCCATTGCTTGGTGATTAGTGATAATGAGCATATTTTCATGTGCCTGTTGGCCATCTGTATATTGCCTTCGGAAATATATCTACAGATCCTCTACCCATTTTTTAATTGGATTGTTTATTTTATTGTTATTGAGTTGTATGAATTCTTCCTTTATTTTGGATATTAGCCCCTTATCATACAGTGATTTTCAAATATCTTCTTCCATTCAGTACATAGCCCTTTCATTTTGTTTATGGTTTATTTTGCAATGCAGAGAGTTTTTAGTTTGATGCAGTCCAGCTTATTTATTTTTGCTTTCCTTATTTTTGACTTTGGAATCAGATCCAAAAATTCATCACCAACATGGATGTCAAATAACTGATAGCGTTTGTTTTCTTCTAGGAGTTTCATGGTTTCAGGTCTTAGCATTCAGGTCTTTAGCCCAGTTTGAGTTAATTTTACATTGAGTATATAATGGTAGTGGTAGGTAGTGGTCTAATTTCATTCTGTTGCTTGTGTCTCTCCAGTTCTAACGCCATATATTAAGAGATTATCTTTTCCTCACTGTAAAAAAAAAAAAAAAAGAAAACTAAGAAAAGGTAAATTGAATTGAAAGTTTTCCACATTCCTTTTGGAAAGGCAATCCTCATTCTAAGACTCTTAGGAAAACATTGTCAATACAGTAGATTTAAATTTCAACAAACTATTTTTCAGAATCTTATGGTGTTCTTTTGAATATGATGGAAATTTGAGCTGAATAATAGTACTATTAACTGGTGTCATATATTTGTCAAATATTAAATGCAAATCAGGAGCTGAGAACTGGTAATACATATGTTAAAAACAGCAAGAACCTTGACCTTAAGATATTTAAATGT